TCAATTTCCTTATTTTTTCTGAAAGTTTATTGAATATAGAATGATGTGTAAAATATTTTTTTTGATATCATCAAGGCCGTATGGGTTTCTTGAGCATCAAAATCAGGTATATAAAAAATTGCCTAAATTTATTTAAATTGATAATTACAGGTACTTACTAATATTTTTTTACATTTCTGATTATTTTATCAGATTCTTCACCACTGAAAATAGCCAGGTACAAAATTTTAAGCAAAAAGATCAAATATTTTTAAAACTATGTGACTTGGAACCTTTAAACAAAGGTCACAATTCTGAGGGGACAAGAGAGGCCTGGCCAAGATCTGTTAAAAGTAAAATGATCGTATTTCAGGATTTTTTTGGAAACAGAAGCTAAAATTTTCAAGGAATTCGTATTTTACTAAGTACTCTCAACTGTATAAAAATCAGTAAAATCTGAGTCATATGGTGACATGGCCTGGATGAATTGACATGGAATTACTCCCTACACACAAAATCCATCATCAAATAATCCTACACACAAAATCCTACACTCAGCAAAACATTAACGAAATGATCTTGACATTAAGATAATTCATTAAGATTGAGTAGCAAAAAACTTTTTTAGACATGTTGGTTTTTCTTGATGATAACAAAATCTTTTTTTTCCTAGCATCATTCTTGGAAACTCATCATTTCGATAAAAGTTAATCACAAGTTTGACTGTTTCTGGTAAAATAGGGTTTCCAATTATTTTTTTTTTGCTTGCAATAATAAAATCTCTTACTTCGAACAAGTTACTTAGACACTTTAATGTAGTGAACAAGATACTTCAAAGCAGTTTGATACCTTTTTACATGTACATGAATCTGCTGCCAGTGTGAATGTTTGCACCTTATGGCAATAAGAATCAGTCAATTTTTTTAATGTTCTGACCATGATCTTTGTTCTTTTTACTGTTTGAAATAGTGTTGTTTATTTCTGTTGTTTAAAAAGCTTCTTCAATGTTATATGCTAAAATCTTTCTTTGCAACTCTGTCTATATATATCCTCAAACTTTAGTTTTGCTGCAGACAATTCTATTTACATAGGTAAGAAACTTTTCAAGAACAGGGGAATTCTATTACATAGGCCAGAAACTTTTCAAGAACAGTGGAATTCTATTACATAGGCCAGAAACTTTTCAAGAACAGGGGAATTCTATTACATAGGCCAGAAACTTTTCAAGAACAGGGAGGGGGGGGGGAGATTTGAAAGCTTAACTTAAATGGCCAAAACAAATGTTCATTCCAAAACTAATATGCAGAGGTAAGCATAAAATAATTTAAAATAAATCATGAAAATGAATTCAACTGCAACAAAACTATTTACTAAGTTTAAAATAGAAACAAAACATTTTGAAAACCAATTAAGATCTCTCTCAGCTGATGAATGCACCTCCTACGTAACCTCCTGGATTCAGGCTGGAATGGAAGCTTTTATTCTTTCTTGTCGGTTTCAAGTCAAGCCTCATTCTACTCCATGGTTTTCTCCTTCTTGTGCGGCTGCTATATCCAATCATAATCATCTTTTTCAAAAGAACAACTCTCTTGAGAACAAACTGCTATTTATTATTACAAGAAATCGATGTAAAAAGGTGCTTTCTGATGCTAAACTCCATTATTCTCAGTTCACTAAATCTCGCATCTTATCACAGAAATTAGTCTCTAAAGACTTTTGGAAAATCTTCAACAGCATTATTAACAAGAGTAGATCTAACATTCGATCACTCATTCATGGGACTGATCTTATTACCTCTCCCAAGGATAAGGCAGAACTATTTGCAAATAACTTTTCTTCTAATTCCACTCTTGAATCTTATGGACATTCTCTTCCTTCCATTCCAGTCAAACAGGTTGACCCATTGTTAGACATTCAAATCACTCTGGCTTCTGTTGCTAAAGTCATATCTCAATTAAACTCGTCTACAGCTTGTGGTCTAGACAACATTCCTGTCACAGTCTTGCAGAATTGTTCTCCAGAACTTTCTTCAATTCTCTCTAAACTATTTAACAAGTGTTTGACTGAGTCTTGTTTTCCTGCTTGTTGGAAAATGGCATCTGTGGTTCCAAAATTCAAAAACTCTGGAGAAAATTCTGACCCCTCCAATTATCGTCGATCAGTCTTCTTTCTGTTATTAGCAAGGTCTTTGAGTTTTTGATCAACAAATTCTTCACATCTCATCTTGAGTCAAATAAACTACTGTAGACAATCAATATGGTTTTCGATCCTCTCGCTCTATGGCCGACTTACTAACTGCTGTAACTGAAAGATTTTATCGTGCATTAGATGGAGGCGGTGAGGCTAGGGCTATTGCTCTCGACATATCTAAAGCTTTCGACAAAGTTTGGCATGCTGGTCTTTTCCATAAGCTTGCTTCATATGGTGTTTCTGAGAAAGTTTTTGAGATTATCAAATTTTTTCTTTCTAACCGGTTTATTAAAGTCATCCTTGAAGGCCAACACTCTTCTTTATTTCCAGTAACTTTTGGGGTTCCCCAAGGTTTTATCCTGGACCCTGTTTTGTTTTTTATCTACATAAACGATCTTCCTGACAACCTTTCATCTAAAGTGGCTTGTGAATTTCAACTCGAACAAAACCCAGTTGTTTACTGCAAACAACTACTGTAATATGGTCAACATTCCTATATTAATGAATGGCAATCCTCTTACTGAGTCCTCCTCTTTACGTCTTCTTGGATTATCGCTTACTACTGACCTTTCATGGGAACCATATATACAATCGATTGCTAAATTAGCTTCTGCTAAGGTTGCTTCTCTTTATCGTGCTCGCCATTTCCTTACTTCTGATTCCATTCTCTACCTCTACAAATCTCTTATTCGTCCCTGTATGGAATACTGTTGTCATATATGGGCTGGTTCTTTTAACGATTCACTTTCTCTTCTTGACAAGGTCTCTCTCCCATCTTCATGTTTTTGTGACTTATGCAACCTTCAACTTTTCAAGTTGAAGGTTGTATGAGTCAGGAAAACATGAAGATGGGAGTCAACCATTTCCTTGCTCTATAACTCTGTTCTTTTTTTTCCTAGTAACTCCCAACTTAATAGTGGTTGCTTGCAGCCTTGTTGGGAGTGATTGCAAATAAAAAAAAAAAAAAAAAGATTTTTTTTCATTATGTTTTAAATTGCATTTTGTATTTTTTCATTATTAATTAATTTTTATATAAATTTTTTTTTGTTATTATTAATGATGAGTTTTATATTATTTGATCATGTGTTAGAGCATGAGTTTTTAAGTAGACCTAAGATTAAGTAATAATATGCAATATAAGTATAATATTTATATAAGTATAATTTTATTTTATACTTATATAATTATTTTTTATAACAAAAACTGCATCTCCTTTATAGTCTCCTGGATTCAAGCGGGCATAAAAACTTTAATTTTTTTCTGGTTGGTTTCAAATCAAGTCTCCCCCTCCACCATGATTTTCTAAATGTACAGCTGCTTTTTTTAATCATAATCATTTTTTTAATCTCAAGAAAAAAACTGTTGACAATTCAAAGTTGTCAACAGAGTTGTCAACAACTGAATCTGGTAATTTTTATCAGAAATTAGATTGTGGAGATTTAAAAAAAGGATAAGACAGAACTATATTACCATTTTAAACCCAAGGATGAGACAGAACTATATTACCATTTTAAACGTTTTTGGACCTGCTCCAGGTGCCAAGCTTGAGTAGGTCCATAAAGCTACTCATAAAGTTGTATCTCTCCTTTTTACAAATGCTACCATGGTTGCTGTTTATGCTTGAAAAACTTTTATCCGTCCAGTTTTTTTTTTTGTACATTGTTTTAGAATTTGCTACTATCTTGTTTTCCCAACTCTTTACAATTTTCCCAGACAAATTTTTTGAGTCAACTGCAAGTCAACTCCTGTCATACTTTTTAGCTCTTTTCTTTTTTTTCTGTTCCAATTTAATTAGTGCTTCCACCATTGTTCAAAGTGAATTTATTTAATTAAAAAAAAAATATTTTTTGGTTGAAATAAAATTACATTATCTTGTAATTGCATTTTGTTTTATTGAATATATTGAAAAAGCTTATTGAAAATTATTGCAAGATTTGAATCAGTATGAAAAAAAAGGCAGAAATTGAGGATTTGACCAATGGAGCTTGCAGGGAACCTTAATAGAAAGGTTTAATCAATTTTGGTTTTGAAAGAATGGGTCCGCAATTCACTGTATTGAATTACTTGCTAAAAAACTTAGCATGGTAAATTTTTAAAAGATTTCAATTAAAAATTTACTCGTTGCAAGAAAGAACTAGATTTAATTAATTCAGCAGTAGTTGATAAAACTTACAAATTATGGTGATGATTTTATTAGTAGTATTTTAACGAGGATGAAATTGAAATATGTGTGCTAGTGTGATTAAAATTTATGTGCTAGTGTTATTGAAATTTGTGTAGATGTGTGGCCATTGGTTTTCGCTTGTGAGCTTTATCAAGTTTTATAACTTTATTAAAAATTAAAAAACTTTTGTATTTTAAATCAAAATTATTTTTGCAATTTTTACTCTCTTTTTAAACTTGTTTCAGTTCAATGTTTGTTATTTTGTAAAGTTTAGTTAAGTTTAGTTTAGTTTGTTATATTTATTAAACTATTTGATTCAAAACCTAACAAAAAATATATACCTAATAAAAATGCTTATAAATCGGTGTTTAAGTTTATTATATTAAATAAAAATTTTTAAAAGAACATGGTTTTCACATTTAATAATATTATTTTAATTTAATGCTATGTTAAATGCTACATAGTATACCTATTGCATGACATTAAATTGTTAATAATTTAGCTTTTCCGCTAAAATTTCAAAACTTTTTAACATTTATAATTGACTATTAGTTTCATATTTACAATAATTTTTTTATTTACATATGAACATATGTGTACTATATATAAACATTTACTTATATCTATTTCAAATTTTGGTTGTATTTTAATTGGTTTATACTAACAGGATGTTTCATGTAATGAATTAACAAGTTTACCAAGTACAATGGGTGAATTGTCTTCTCTACGTCTACTTAATGTCAGAAGAAATCAGATAACAGCCTTACCTGATGGTTTGTGATTTTTATTGTATTTTTGTATAAGTGAAAACAAAAGTTTTTAAAATATAAAACTTTTTTGTTAAATTAGGATACAATAATTTATCATTTGGTTTTTTGAAAGGCTTATATAAATTTTCAGAGAGGTTAAATGTGACACCAAGAAAATTCATAATTTTTAAATTTATGCTAATTTCCAAAAGTTGAAAGGCAATATTTAAAAGTTTTATATACCTTTTCTAAATTTATCGAATTGTGAACTAGATTTTTTATGCATCACTATTAAATTATCATCACTATAAAAACCTAATTCATTAATATTGGTTATTTTACTTAATAAATTTAAAAAATATAATCCAAAAAATATAATCCAAAAAAGCTCCATCATAACTGGTAATTGTTACATCAAAGCAGTCATGTTTGTGGGTGACCTTTTTCAACAAGAAAATCAAATTAATATTTTTTCATTACTTTTGTACAAATACTCATAGAATTATGACCCAAGGACATAGGGTCACAAAAAGTCATAACTCTAATATATATATATATATATATATATATATATATATATATATATATATATATATATATATATATATATATATATATATATATATATATATACATATATATATATATACATATATATATATATATATATATATATATATATATATATATATATATATATATATATATATATATATATATATATATATATATATATATATATATATATATATATATATATAATATATGTATATATATATATATATATATATATATATATATATAATATATGTATATATATATATATATATATATATATATATATATATATATATATATACACGTATATATATACAGTGCTTCCAAAAAGTATTAGCGCACTCAATTTTTTTTACCTCAGAGAGCTTTAAAGGATTGTAATTCAAAAACAATAAAAGACTGTTTGATAATTTTTTTTTTAACTAATTCATAAAATTATGCAGAATTACTAATTGTAAAATATGTAAAAGTATTTCTTTATTATTATCTTGAATTTAATTAAAATACAATAAGAGTGACAAAAACAATAATAAAAAAGTGTGCAAAAGTATTAGCACACTTACAGTTTTTTAAGGATTTTAGGAAAGTTTAATATTTTATGTGACCACCTTTGTTTTTAAAGCATGCCAAGACTAAGTTAATCTATAAGTTTTTTGATTAGTTCTTGTGGCATGATATTCCACTACGCTTGGATTTGTGTTTTGAGCTGCACCAAGTTAGTGGGCCTGCTTTTATATAATTTGCAGTCCATCCAACTCCAAAGATTCTCAATAGGATTCAAATCAGGTGAGCGAGCGGGCCAAGGCATCAGGTTCAACCGTTTTTCATTTATGTATTGCTTAATTGAGCATGCTGTGTGGCAAGAAGTGTTATCTTGTCGAAATTGCCAGGTGGAGTCAGCTTTGAAAATGTCCATTGATGGCTTTAAATAATCTTCTAATATCTCTCTATATCGATGTTAATTAAGGCGATCAGTGTAAAGATGCGCCAGGCCATTGCTAGATCCAGCAATACAGCCCCAAATACCAATTGAACCTCCTCCTCCTTGAACTCTTGACATGATAAAACGAGGATTATATTTTTCATTTTTGTTTCTTCTCACGACAACTCTTTTTTTGCGATTAATAAGTTCAAAATTTGACTCGTCTGAGAAAATTACTTTTCTCCGTTGCTCTACAGTCCATGCAGCTCTCTCTTTGCACCATTTTCTTCGCTTAAGACGGTCTTTGATGCTTAGTAGTGGCTTCTTTGTTGCAAGGTATGAATTGAGTTGTTTTTTTTTTCATCAGCTTGCTAATTGTTGATCGGCTTACTTGATGTGCACCTATCGCTGTATTCAAGTCTGAGGCGATTTTAGCTATACTCGTGTTCGGGTTGCGTCTAGCAAGCATAATTGCTTTATTTTTGACCCTTTCTGTCATTTTTTTGGGACGACCAGAGTGATTTTTGTCTTTGACTGATCCAAACTCATTTTAGTTTTTTAGCGTTGTTTTAACGCTGCATTCACTGATTTCAAGTTGACGTCCAATTTCTCGATTGCTGAGACCAATTTTGTGCAGGCCAACAACTTGCCACTTTGTTTCAATTGATATGCTCTTTAAACCCATATTTTTGTTGTTCAAATTTTAAAGTTTTAACTAACTGTATTTCAAATGATATATTTGTCACTTCAACTTATGCTTCTTATATTTTTTATTGACTGTTATTAATCAGCAGAGAGTAATTAACAAAAATTAACCAAAAAAGTTTTTCTCAAAGGAATTAAACAATTGTACTAATACATTTTAAATCAGTGCACTATTACTTTTGCACGCATTTCACACATTTTTCAGAGTAGTCATTAAACTTCTAATTAATTCATCAAAAAACAGGTAGTTGGTCAAATATTTGATATTCTAAATAAATTTAATTGGTTTTACCTTTCATTAAAAAAAAACTAGTTCGTAATTAAAATTACTTTATAATTTAAATTGATTTAAAGTTGTCTATAATAAAAAAATTACGAGTGCGCTAATACTTTCTGGAAGCACTGTATATATATATATATATATATATATATATATATATATATATATATATATATATATATATATATATATATATATATATATATATACACGCATATATATATACACGCATATATATATATATATATATATATATATATATATATATATTTATATATATGTATGTATATATGTATAAATGTATTTATGTGTATATATATATATATATATATATATATATATATATATATATATATATATATATATATATATATATATATATCGGAGTTCTTGCATATTTTAGTCATTTTTCATTATAGGTCTAAGTGTAACTTGCGTAAATAAAAGTAATATTGTAAACTATTGATAGCATTCACTTTTCTACTTTCAGATAAAGTACAAGCTGATATATATGCCATTTTAAAGTATTACATTGTAATTAATTTTAATTTTAAATGGCGTTAAAAATTATTTAACTAATTTAACAAAAATTATTAATAGAATCTAAATTCTGTATTTAAAAATTATTATATGTCCTGATACATTGATGTGAATCAGGTTATAAATATTTTAAGAAACAAAAAGGTTAGAATTTTTTACAAAATTTTGCTAATTATTTTGCTAGTTTTTAAAATAATTATTTCAATAGTTTTGATTGTCTTGAAGTTTTTTTTATTATCATTTTTTTAAATTTTTTTACATAATCAGCTCTAACAATATATTTGAAATCTAACATTTTGACAAGAATTTAACATAATTTAACATACTTTGAAAATGTAATGTAAATAATAATACACAATGAAAGATAATAAAACACTATAAACGCACATTTATACACATCAATAAAGACCTATCAGAAATCATCGTTTCCAATGATTCTTTATTGGTGAAACAATGTTTACAAAAAATAAAATTTGATAATTGATTTTCTTTTTATTATTGCTCTGTTGTTTTAAGAGCATTGAGTACTTTTATTTGTAAAATGTATTTAAAATTATATATCTAAAAAAGCTACATTGCAAGAACAACATGAGGAAGATAAAGAACAAATTAGTAAACTATTTCATGAAATAAATGTAGAAATCGTCCCAACATTCCAAAAAAGGCTAAATACGAAGCAAACTGGAAAACCGGGATCAGTATTAGTGATTTTAAATGAAGATTCTGAGAGAAATCCAATTTTAGCAAAATCTAAATTATTAAGAGAAAAGCAAGATTACAAGGTTTTTATTTCGCCTGATTTAACTGAAGCAGAGAGAATGGAAAACTATGAGCTTAGAAAGAAAAGTGACAAAATGAATGGTGAAAGAATAGCAGACTCGCCCTTTAGATATGCGATCTGTGGAAATGGAATTGTCAAATTTAAAATACAACTTAACACAACAACATAAAAAATTAGTAAGTTTGTTATCGTTTAATGTTTTATATACAAATGCAACATCTTTAGTAAACAAAGTTGAAGAATTTAAAATCTTATGCAGTTTTAAAAATCCTCAAATAATTGCTATTACAGAAACCTAGTTTAATGAGACATCGGAAATTTATTTGGAAGGATATTCTTTGTATAAACGAAATAGGGGGGATGGGCGTAGAGGGGAAGGGGTTGCGCTATATATAGATAGCAACCTAATATCTTATGAGGTAAACAAAGTTATATTAAATAGAAGTAAAATTGAACAAATATGGATCATTATAGTTGCAAATGATAAAAAATATTTAATTGGTTGCGTGTACAGACCAAGCGAACAAGTAGATATGCTTGAAATGAGTCAAATATTTACAGAAGCTTGTAAATTAGTAGAAAAAAATAATTTAGCAGATTTGTTAATTATTGGTGATTTTAATTTTCCAAATATAAAATGGTCGAATGGATACGTTAGTGATATTTTAGTAGGTGAAGATTCTGTTGAAAATGAATTTATTAATATTATATATGAATGTTTTTTGTACCAACACGTATCAATCCCAACCTTTCAAAATGCACAATATGTTACAAAAAATACCTTGGATCTTAATTTTACAAAAAACAATGAACGAGTCTATCAACTTGAGTCTAACCCAGTTCTAGGAAATATAAATCATGGACATTTGGTTTTAACTTGTAAATTTAACCTTGATGCTATTGCAATGGAAAATTATCCAAAGTATAAATTTGATTACAGTAGATGAGACTATCCACAAATAAGCCTAATTATTGATAAAATTGACTGGAATTATTTATTTGATGGGTTATCAGTTCAATTTATGTATGATCTGTTTATTGAAAAAATTAGTCAATCATGTAATGCTTTTATTCCAATAATTGACGTAAATTCAAGAAAGAAAAGAAAAAATAATCCATGGTTTACTGATGAAGTAAGTCTTCTAGTACGTTCAAAACAAAATTTGCATTATCAAAATTTATCATCGAACTGGAAAGATTTGAATAAAGTAATGAAATATAAAAATATTTGCAAAACTGTGAAAAATAGAATCGCGTAAAGCAAGATGTTACTATGAAAATGATCTTGTTGAAAAATCAAAGGTAAATCCGAAACTGCTATATAAGTATGTGAATAGTCAAAAAACGATTAAACAAGTAATTAAAGCATTAAGAGATCAAACTGGTTGTGTAACAAATGATCAAAATGAAATTGTTGAAATTTTAAATAAACAATTTCAAGATGTGTTTACCATCGAAAATTCTACAGAAGAGCTTCCACAAATCGAGAATTTAGGGGATATTATTATTGATGCAGTTAATATAGATTATTTTGATGTTTTAAGTAGATTAAAACATGTTGATATCAATAAAACATATGGAGTTGATTCTATACATCCGTTGATTTTGAAAAATTGTGCCGATTCTGTAGCATTGCCATTAACTTTAATTTTTATAGAATCTTTTGTCAAAAGTGAACTACCAACTTAATGGAGAGCAGCAAATATTACACCACTATTCAAAAAGGGAGATAAATTAGAAGCTGCAAATTATAGACCAGTGTCATTGACGTCAATTACTTGTAAAATTATGGAAGGTATAGTCAGAGACTGCATACAATCATATTTAATGAAATATAAATTAATATCGAAGTCACAACATGGTTTTGTTAAAGGGAAGTCTTGTACAACAAACTTATTAGAGGCGTTGGATTATATTTCATTTAATTTATCGATTGGTATTTCGGTAGATGAAGCACTTTTAAATTTCGTTAAAGCTTTTGATTCTGTTGCTCACAAAAGACTATTGATTAAACTATCTTCATATGGAATTAGTGGTTTATTATTAAAATGGATTGAAGCTTTTTGAAAAAACAGAATCCAAAGAGTTATCCAAGGTGATGCTGTTTCTTCATGGCGCAAAGTCTTCAGTGGTGTTCCGCAAGGATCTGTAATAGGGCCCTTATTATTTGTTATTTTTATTAATGATATATCAAATATTTAAAAATAAGTCAGTATTGTATGCAGATGATACAAAAATTCTTTCAAAAATGAATGAAATAAATGTGGAAAATAGCTTGCAAAAAGATCTGGATAGTGCAGAGGAATGGTCTAAAAAGTGGCTCTTGGGTTTTAATTCTAGTAAATGTGTTATAATGCATTATGGTACAAATAATCCGCAATTGAAATATACTTTAAATGGTGTTGAACTGAAAGATTCTGAATGCGAGAGAGATTTAGGTGTATATTTTTCAACAAACTTGAAATGGAAAAAACAAATTATATCAAGTACTTCTAAAGCAAATTCAATGATGGGTATGTTAAAGATGACATTTTCACGAATTGATGCAAAATTGGTTAAAATATTGTATAAGGTATTTATTAGACCTCTTATTGAGTTTGCAGTACCTGTTTGGTCACTTTATTTTAAAGGAGACATATCACTTTTGGAAAAAGTTCAACACAGGATGACTAGATTAGTTCCATCATTAAGGAAAATTAATTATGAAAAGAGATTGGAAATATTAGATATATCTACATTAAAAACAAGGAGGGAACGTGGGGATTTAATACAAGTGTTTAAATTACTTAACAGATTTGAGGAAATTGATTTAATTAATGAACTGAAGCTTAAAATTGATTTAATTACTTGAGGTCACAATCTTAAATATGAAAGAGAAATTGTGAACTATTTACCTCGGCATCATTTTTTATTAAATCGTACGGCCAATTTATGGAGCGTTTTACCGGAAACTGTTGTTACTTCAAAAACTGTCAATCAATTTAAGAATAGATTAGATGAGTGTAACGCCAAATCAAAGAAGTTTTAACTAAACATTTTTAATATATATTTGGATTAATGCTGTCAAAGTGTGATAAACCACACTCGCTGGATTCAGTTACAGTTTAACTACTAACTAACTAATATGTATATATATATATATATATATATATATATATATATATATATATATATATATATATATATATATATATATATATATATATATATATATATATATATATATATATATATATATGTATGTATATATATATATATATATATATATATATATATATATATATATATATATATATATATATATATATATATATATATATATATATATATATATATATATATATTAGGATAGGCTAAACGCCCCTGATTTTTGAAAATCAAAAGGCACTGTTTTCCATGTGCTGTGGGTGTACTCTGTGACCAATAAAAAACAAAATTTGAATTATTTGGATAATTTTTTGACCCCGCTCAATGGGCTCAAAGATCGAATTTTTATTACAAAAATTCGAATTGCGACGGTTCAAACACCCTTAAAAAATAAAAATAAAAAAATAATGCTTTTCATCTAATTTTTTAGAAGTTTACGATTATTTTAAGCCTATTCCCATCGTAATTCAATAAGATTTAGGCTGCCTACAAGCATTAAAAGGACTAAATTTTTGACCTGGTTTCTTAAAAAAACACCCGGTTTCTACAACATTTTAAAACTGACGGGTTTTTTATTATATTGCAGGGGTGGAGGATATGCCGCCCCCCTCCAATTTTTATACAATTTATTTAACTTTTTGAACAAAAAAGTTCACTTGAATTGAATTGAATCACTGAATTAAGTGTTTGTTTGTGTATTATTTAAGTTAAAGTATGACATATTTATATAGCAGTATATAAAAAATATTTTTATTATTAATAACCTATTACATTATATTATTTAAAACAAAGCGGGAAAAGACATCAAATCCAAATATCAGTTTTTTTGATAAATGACTTTATTAAATTCTCTAGAAATATAGAGAACACCCTCTCAACTATCTTATAGAGATCGAGTTCTGCAATATTTAATTTGTATACAAATCAAAACTAAAAAATAAAATCGTTTTCAAACGTACACAGAGTACACCCACAGCACATGGAAAACGGTGCCTTTTTATTTTTAAAAATCAGGGGCGTTTAGCCTACCCTAATAACTATGCACATATACGTATTTAGAAAGCTTATTTTTCCATATTTATTAGTAAAAATTACAATTTTTATTTATAGAAATGAAATTTTTTATAAATAAACCTGGCATTAATATATAAAATAACAACTTTTGATATATATTTTGATATTTAATAATCACATAAACAATTTCATGTAACAATTGCATGTTAAAGAATTTCAGACAAATTCTATTTGGAATTGACTGAAAACTTTTGTCTGTGATTTGAAATTGAAATCATCAAAGATTGCTTTAACTCCTCATCCTGGAAAATGTGTGTAAAGTCTTGGATGAGCTTTACTCCTCTCTCAGCGCAATCATTTACTACTGTTAATTTTTCTACAAATGTTTTCAGAACTCTATATCCTGAGAAATTATTCCAATCTCTAAAATAAAATAGTTATCCTAAAATATTTTAAAAATGCCAAAAAATAACATAAGAAATAATTTATGAGAAATATTTACTTGGAGCTAACTTGCATCCATTCTGTTTCTATTACAGATAAATTTAGCTGCTGAATGAGAATCCAACTTTGAGGTCCAACCAGTTGCCATAACTCTGGAATTTTTTTTATGTCAATATTTGGAAAAAGTAGTTTTCCCAATGTTAAATTTGAAGGTCTAGGATATAAAAATAGCTTTTTGGCAATTTTTTCTCTAATGTTATTGTCAAGTGTTTCGTTGCAAAGAGCAAACACAACATTTCGTTCTGTAAGAAACCATAAGTGATTTTTAATACTTTTAATAGCAGTAGTTGACACAGTTTTGTTAAATGATCCATACTTGGTCATATCCCTGATTGCACATAAGTCTAAAGAAGGAGAAGAAACTGCCAATGGTGCTTTCAGAAACCATCTTGCATGAAAAAGCCCAATAAACTCAGCAATTTGAGGGACTGTTGCTATTTATTCTTCCCTAATTATATCAAATTGTTGCAAATGAAATGTAAGCAGTTCTATTGTCATGTAGTAGATAGCTTTTGAAAGAAATCTTGCATGATGAAAAGCTATAGGTTTACGAAACTTAAAATTTCCAAGCTTATCACTGCCTAGCCAAACCAAGGCAAGTTCTGCTGAATGCTTATAGTTACCACGAGGAAACTTTTCTGTAAACAAGGCGTATTCAAGATATATTTTGGTTTTTAGAGCCTTTGAAAAAATATAATGCAAATAAGTTTATTATGTTTTAAAAATTTTCAGAAAAAAGAAATATGCAATTCTCCTTACCTGTTCTTCTAAAAATGTTCCTTTTCTCTTGCTCCATTCAAACCTGTTAAGATTGTTTAAATTTATGTCAGGCTTAATAGTTTCCCAGAAATTTTGAATTTTTTTGAAAAGATTATCAACTGGTCCATCAGACATATTTCCAGAAACTGCAAGTGCTACATGCTAGATAATGACAAATGAGATTAGGAAAAGGCTATATGAGTAAACCAAGAATAAAATTATTTAATAATTCTATTTCTAACCTTAATATGAAGCTCATATATGTGATGTCTGCAGGCAAACCATAGTAATGGTCTGCCCTGCCATTTTTCTAGCAATACACAGGCACCCTGCATCTAGCCTTAATTTAATTCATTTATTCAATGTGAATTTTTTCAAATAAAAATTATGAAAATACAAAAATATCATAATACAAAATGTCATAAAATGTCTTTATTATTTTATTGAGTTTATTTTTCTCACCTGTATTTGAAGATGTAGTGTCAAAACATACACTATGTACCGAATCCCAGAGATTCCAAGATTCCAGTATTTCCTTAATTGCTTTTGCTTGAGTTATTCCACGACTATCTGTGATAGAAAGAACTCCAATAAGTTGTTCTTTATCAATACTAGGATTTGAAATCACTAGTGCTAACCGCTCAACATTTATATTCGCACCATAAAAATATTCTTTTACTATTTTTGTGTCAAAATGAACACAAGGTAGTTTCCCCTTAGCTTTTACAATAAAATCTTCTTTAACTTTTAAACCATATTCACTAATTACAGCACTTGAATGAACCTTTGCTGACGTAACAGAAATATCAAAGTCCTTTAGATTTCCGCCTGCTGAGTTGATGACATTAGCCGATGTAGCGGTATGCGCTGAACTCTGAATACCGTATCTCTTTGCTGTAACAGCAGTGGCCTTTAAGATTTTTCTAGGTAGCATAACTTCAACAAAATCTGGTTTTCTCTTATGAGATCTTGGTTTGCAGTCCTTTTGATATTCAAAGTCTTGATTATCCTCTTTGTTCTGGGCTTCTACACTGCTATTTCTAACCTGATTTAAAGTTAAATTGGTTATAAATTTAGAAGCTAATCTGTTACTATTTGAAGTAGTCATTCTCTTATTGGTAAATTCAATCCCCTTTTGCTTTCTACGAGTAGTAAATAAGTACTTCTTGTCTATTCCACCCATGACAGCTTTACGTTCTCCTCGTTGATCATTCAAAAAGTTTATATCAATATTTCTTTCCTTTTTAGTGACTTGCTTATTCAATAGAATTTTTTGCTGTGCATCATTCACACTAATATCAAATAAGCACTTTATTTCAAGTTTGTAAGCGTCTATTTTTCTTAAATTGTGTGGTGTGTCACGTAATTTGTTCTTTGATAGTTTCTTTCTACGATCTTCCAAGCATAATATCTTACTTCTATATAAAGAAACAACATTTTATTCTTACAGTAAGATTCTTTAAGTTTTAGTTTTAAAAATAAATAAATACTGTGTATACAATTATTATTTACCTAATATGTTGGTCAGCTACTATTGGGATTGCTCTTCTTTTCCAGATTTTCTTCAGTGACAAAACAACACATGTGCTTTTAAGAAAATTACACCCTCCAGGGTTTTTGCAACCAATTTCAAAACTCCCATGTGGAAATTTGCAAGAAACCATATCATAGAGTCTATATTTTAAATTTTCTTTTCTTGCTTTGAATAGTTTGCCATGTAAATATTGCAGAACTTGCTCTCCAGTAGGCAATTGAGATGATGGTAGTATTTCGATAATATCATTTATCAAAAAAACTTTATATTTTGATCTTGTGTCTTTTCCCATAATTATCTAAAACTAAAATTATTCAACGATTTTTCTATGCGAAAAAATTAATTACTGCATAGGACGTATAAAATTATCGCGATCTTAGTAAAATAAACAAACCGTTTAATAAAAAATGTTTTAAAAACCGGTTAATTTTTAAGGAAACCGGGTCAGACCTCAGGGTCCAAAATTTTTGAGCACAGTCTTAGTCTTATTCAATTATCATAAAGTTAGGCTTAAAATGATCATATGAACATAAAAAATCAATTAAAAAACAGTGCCTTTGAGATTTTTATTTTGAAGGTTATCTTACCGGTCATTATATGGATTTTTGAGGTCAAAATTTGATATTTGAGCCCAATGAGCAGGGTCCAAAATTTGTGCAAATGAGTTGAACTTTGGTTTTTATTGATCACAGAGTACACCCACACCACATGGAAAACAGTGCCTTTTGATTTTCAAAAATGAGGGGCGTTTAGCCTACCCTAATATATATACATACATATATATATATATATATATACAGGCCTTGCGATGAATAAGAACTGCGCGACGCATAAGCACGACGTGATTTTTGACGTCATTAAATTCTTTTTATTTGCTTTTCATATTTATCGACATTAACTGCACCAATTTATTTAATTACCGCAAAACTACTTTAAATCGTTTATGTAGAAATGTTATTATTTAAAAATGTTTTGGAATGTTTCGTTTTTTAAAATGTAAAAACATTTGTTTATTTTCTCGACGTTTGTCACGTTTTGTCTATACTAAACGAATAAAAAACATTATAACTTAAATTTAAAAAAGATTATAAAATATGCTAATATTTGATTTTTTTTTTCTTAAATATGTAATTTAAAGTTTTTCAAATAATTATTTTTTCTTTTTAAAAAGTCAGCGAGTAATAAACTGGAAGTTTTAATATTGTACGATTAAAAACTGTGCAATAGCTAATATTTTTACAAGCGATTTTATATAATATTTATTTATTTTTATTTATTTTCATAAAGCGGTTGATAAGCACAATCACTCGTATTAATAAAAAACTTAAACGAACGTTTTGAATAGATTTTTAATGCTAACAAGGAATTTTATTTCTATTAAAATAAAATAAAATGTTAGAATAAAAATCTTATAGGTATAAAAGAAATATTTCAGCGAAAAAATTATTCTTAAAATTTATTCTTAAAAATTATTCGAAAAACTATTGACGTTCTATTTTTCAGCAGCTGTTCTTGAGCACGCTTCGATGAGTTTCGGTAACTTTTAACATAAAAGCGATCGTTATTATTTAAGTAATTTTTTTGAGTTACTTTTTACAAAAATTTTAATAACTGTACTTTTTTATTGAATCAAGTAGAATACGTTTTAATATTAATCTTTTTTTTTTTTTATTTGCCCTCACCAATTTTTAAAATGTTTCCTCGAAATCACTCTTAAATACTTTAAATACGTCTAACAGTTAATAAATATTTTTAAATCTATGGAATAATTTTAAAACCTATCAAACCCCTGTAAAATAATTATTTAAGTTTAAAATCTAAAAATAAAAGAAAGTATTTTTGTTCAATTTTATCGACAACGTTGCTATTGCTGAATAATTTTATTAAAATGTTAGCTTAAAAGATTTAAACTTTTTTTTTAATTTTTGAATTTTTTCTACTTGTAAATAATGAGCATATTTAATTTTTTTAAATTCAAACTTTTATTTCAACTGCGTGCGGTTTTTAAAATACTTTATTAAATGTTAAAATAATCGTAAATTACTTCATTAAAATTCCGCTCAAAAATATCTTTAAATATACTCAAACAAAAAATTTTTTGCTCGACGCAAATAGCCCTAGCTACACGCAAAATCGCCCTTGGACGACGTAAAATTCACATCGCCCGACGCTTTATCTCAAGGCCTGATATATATATATATATATATATATATATATATATATATATATATATATATATATATATATATATATATATATATATATATATATATATATATATATATATATATATATATATATATATATATATATATATATATATATATATATATATATATATATATATATATAGGCTTGGTCGGAAAGCGGGAGCGATCGCTCTCGATTGCTGACCATGTAAATAATATTTAGTTGCGAAAAGCTGGCCAGATTTTTTATCCGTTTTGAGAACATTTTAAAAAGGCAAAAAAAAAAAGCGACAAAGATTCGTTAGACCGATGAGAGACAATTACAAAAAAAAAAAAAAAAGGCAAATAAAATATCTTTAAACGCGAAAAAACTTAAAGCTAAATAAATTACATTTAGAACAAATATCGCTCTTTTACAATTTATTTTGTAAAATTAAGCGATGTTTTTTATATAAAGTAACAACTTACAATTGTTTAAAAGGGAAACAAATATTCTTTATTTAACTAAGTTTGCAAGTTTTAGTTTTACTTAAGCTAAATTATTTTATAAATAAAAAAGTTATTTTGTTAATACCTATTTTATGTTTCGCGTAGTTTGAAAAGTTTAACATATTTGAAGCGATTTTTCTTAGTAAGATAAACAAATGAAATAATTAAATCATTGAATTACTATAGATGAGTTTCCTTGCGACGTCACGTCTTTTTGTAAACAACATGTGCGCGCATACTTGTAGGTAGAAAAAATAAAAACGCAAGAACTTAATTGTGTTTCTTGTATTTCTTTTCTACCCTAAAATCAATATTTGTACCCTAAAATTAATTTTTTCTTTAAAAAATTATTAAAAGAATAATAATTAAAATTAATTACAAATATTTCATATAAATTTTGGTAATAAAAGTTTTTATTGTTATTAAAAACTTTTGTTTAAAAAATTTTAAAACAGATGTTCTTGTTCAAATTTTAAACTCATTTTAAGTTTAAAAATAGCTGTTGCTCTTGCGATTTTTCTTATAAGTTTATTCTGTTTTTGGAAGTCAACAATAACACTTAACTTTTCAAAATAGTTAACAATATGATGAGTGAATATTTTAAAAGTCTAAAATTAGAAGAAGCAATAGACTACACAAAGAAGTTAACTCTTAAAAATGGGGAAGTTTTACCGGATCCGTATATAATTGAACCAAAAGAATGGAGCAACGATCTCAATCATTTGCCAAACATTACATGGCAAGATGTTACTCAATATTTAATCGATACACCTAGCATATACACGAAGGAATCAATCAGAGCCTATAAATCCTTGGAAGTATATGATTACTTCACTTGTGGTCATGTTCAAGAATGTTTTTATAATAAAATATCGAATAGGAGCAAATTCTGTTTTATAAAATCAAAGGTTATTTTTAATATATAATTAAAAAATAAATTTTTACAAGAGACGAATAAATAATAATTTTTATATAGAAATAATCTTTTTGTAATAGGTCTTGCCATATCAAAGACAAAACAACAAAAATATGTATGATGTATGGACTTGTCTTGAGAAAGAACTTGGTTGGGTACTAACTGCTAATTGTTCATGTATGGCTGGACTAGGATCAGCTTGTAGCCATGTAGCAGCATTATTATTTAAATTAGAAGCAGCTTCACGTTTAAAATTACACAGAACACCTCCTACAAGTATCTTGTGTACTTGGAAGAAATGCAAAAAATCTGTTTAGCCTGCTCCATTGCAGCTCATAAATTTTCAGCGACCTCAAAAAAATCTTTTACAAAAAGATTTGGTTGCAAAGCTACCTTTGAAAAAATACTTTTCCAACAATAATCCAATGGATGGTG